AGCACTAAGGACATTAGGAGGCAAAGTTAATCCCCAAATTTCCTGCAACTCAGAAGAGGCATGCTGCAGGGTGTGTGTAACTGCAGAAGACGTAAGATACAACACATGTTTTCCATCTTTGGGAGGTTAAGAGGAAAATAATCTTCACACTAGAAATTATTGGGGTTGGAGAGATGGCTCAGTGGTTAAGTGTGTGTAATGCTTTTGCAGAGGACCCAGGTTTGATCCCCAGAACCCTTGCTTGGGATGGGTGGCTCACAACCACCTATAATCCCAGCTCTAGGGGGTTTGATGCCCTCTTCCGGACTCCAAGGGCACCCATCTTTGCACATGCATAGACCCATACACCTGCACAAAAACAAATCTTAATTACTTGATGTTCATGGGTGAGAGGAATCCTGAAGGCTCCTCAGAAAGGCAGAGGCCAGTTGGGAAGAGTTAAATAAAGTTTTGTCTAGGAGAGTGTTTAGTGTTTGCTTCCTTTTCTTCTTTCTCTTCCTTCCTTCCTTCCTTCCATCGTTCCTTTTTTCTTCTCTCCCTCCTTTCTTCCCTCCCCCTCCCTCCCTCTTTCCCTCCCTCCCTCTTCCTCTTTCTTTCTTTCTTTCTTTCTTTCTTTCTTTCTTTCTTTCTTTCTTTCTTTCTTCTTTCTTTTCTTCCTTTCTTTCAAGACAGAGTTTCTTTGTATAGTCCTGGCTGTCCTGGGAACTCACGCTATAGACCAGGCTGGACCCAAACTCAGGGATCCACCTGAGAAACTCACAAGAGATGTCTTTGCTTTCAGAGTAGGGAATGTTTCCATTTATTCAAGTTTTCTCTGTTCTGTTGATGTCATAGCTTCTTCCCACAAGCCCCCCAACTCTGGGGTGGTTTAAACATTAAATTTTAATGGGTGTGATTTTGAGTAGATACTTTTTCTAAAACATATTCTGAGTGGGCACTGTGAGGAAAACTACTGGTTACACAATGAAGCCTCCTTTCAGATAGAAGGCATTCTGATTCTTATGCAAGTGAGATAAGAGTTAGAAAGCCACTGCTATTCTAGCAAGGATTTATGCATATAAATTGTAGAAATGTGGCTAGGAAAATTAAGAATATAAAGAAAAATTCCACTTTTCAGATACTACAGCTAGTACCCCAGTGATGGTCTTTCCACATGTTTTAGCAAAATTGAGGTTTTTTTTTGGGGGGGGGAAGAGGCTAGAAAGATGGCTGAGTGGTTAAGAGCACTTGCTATTCTTGCAGAGGACCCAAGTTCAGTTCCCAGAAACCACACTGGGTAGCTCAAAAGCACCTGTATCTCCTTTTCCAGGGGAATCTATCATAGTCATCTGGGCTCTGCAGATATCTATCTGCATACATATACTATATACATACATACATACATACATACATACATACATACATACATAGACACGTACACATAAAATAAAAAAAACAAAATCCATCTCTGGTGTTTCTCCTCACCATCCTCTGAGGTGTATGCATATGTGCCTGTATAAACATTTACTCATGTGTGTGTATGTGAAGACTAGAGACTGACATTGACTCCAGATATGTTCCATGTTGTTTTTTTTTTTGAGACAATGTCTCCACCTAAAATGGAAGGTGATGTTCCAGCTACACTGACTATCCAGGAGCCCTGGGTTATACTGATAGCCATACCCCTCCCAGTGCTTGATTTACAGTATTACAGCATTATGCCTGGCTTTTTACATGGGTGCTGGGCTTCACAGTTAAGGTCTTTATGAGGGAATGAAAAGAATTCTAGTAATCTAAGAAATCACACTTTTAAGTACTTCTCCACACTGTAACATATCAGATGTGTGCAAAAGTGCCTGAATGAATATGGAATATTGTAACTCAAAAAATAAAAGATCCAGAGACAGATATTGGGTTTTAAGCTTATGGTCAGAAAACCAAAGCAGCTGGCTAGCCACTAGCTAGCCTCTACCTCAGCTCAGACCAAAGGGGCGATCTTCAGATGCTCCTGACTTCACTACTCAGATTCACTCAGGCTGTTATGCTCTCCTCAACGTGGCTAGAGACTATTTCTTCAAGACTGACTTTGCTTCTTCCTTTTATACCTCTCAAATCCTGGGATTAAAGGCTTGTGATTCCAAGTGCTGAGATCACCTTTGTGCAAGCTGTTTCTCTTTAGGACTGGATCAATTTCATATAGCTCAGTGTGGACTTGAACTAACAGAGATCCATCTGTTTGTCTCTTGAGTCCTGGGATTAAAGGTGTGTGCCACCACTGCCTGGCTCTATGGCTGTGGATAGCTTTGCTTTCTGAACCCTTAGGCAAGTCTTAATAAATCATAAATAATATGTCACCACAGAATAACAATACCATTGAAATAGAAACTTAATATTTATTTAAAATTAAAATGTAACTACTCTGTGTTCCCCATTCCATTTCCTCTCTTCACTGCCTCCCCTATTGGCAATGCAAAGTGAATCTCAAGAATTGCTTTTGCAGCAACAATTGTATGGGAGAAGTTGTTTCATGGCCTGGAAACTCTAAGAGAGGCTAGCTATGAGCCAGCCATAGGGCTCTGGGAAAGTTCCTGGGAATGAGAAGTTCTCCCAGGCTTTGAAATTACATCTAATCAGAAGTTGCTATTGCTTGATACTGGAGATCCTGGTTCAAGACTTCCAAAGTCTAAGAGCACTTGATAAATAGTGTTGGTGCTCTCTGACCTATGTGCTCATTTAGCTCTTGCCAGCTCCCCTAGAGGTGGCATTCTAGACAGCCAAATTATTTTTTTAAAAAATTTACTTTAGAAGCACTCTTATTTACATATCCATGCCCCCATTCCCCCTCCCATCCTCCCATGCTCCCCCACAACCCACCTCCACCCACTTCCCAGGGATAGTGAGACCCTCCACGGGGGACCATCAAAGTCTGTCACAACCTTTGGGGGAGGGCCCAGGCCCTCCTTCCCATATCTGAGCTGCAAGAGTATCCCTTCATAGGAAATGGGCTTCCAAAGTCCATTTGTGCTCTAGAGATAAACACTGGCTCCACTGTTAGAGATCCCATAGACTGCCATGGCCTCCTTGCTGGCACCCACATTTAGAGGGCTTGGTTTGGTCCAATGCTGTTTCCCTAGCTTTACGACTAGGGTCTCTGTGCTCTCACTAGATCAGGCCAATTGTTTCTGCAGGTTTCTATAGCACAGTGTTGGCTCCTTTACTCTTCCCTCCTCCTTCTCCGCAACTGGACTCCAGGAGTATGGCTCAGTGTTTAGCTGTGGGTGCCTATTTCTGCTTCGATCAGCTACTGGATGAAGGCTCTAGGAATGGTAACCAAGGTAGTCATCAATCTCATTATAGGGGAAGGCATCAAAGGCGGCCTCTCCTCCACTGCGTAGATTCTTAGTTGGGGTCATTCGTGTGGATCCCCTAACATTTCCCCTGTGCCAGACCTCTCTCCAAGTCTGTACTGGCTCCCTCTATCAAGGCATCTATCTACTTTTTTGCCCTCCTCTATTCCTCCCCTGGCTCAGTCCTCCTGTTCTCCTCCCCTCTCTTCTCCTCCTCTTCCCGCCCCACCTCCCTCCTCTCCCCTATGCTCCCAATTTGCTCAGAGGTTCTTGTCCCCCTCCCCTTCTTTGGAGGACCATGCAATCTTCTCTTGGGGTCCTTTTTGTTCCCTAGCTTCTTTGGCAGTGTGGATTGTAGGCTGGTAATCCTTTGCTCTATGTCTAAAATCCATATATGAGTGAGTACATATCATGTTTGTCTTTTTGTGACTGACAGCCAAATTCTTTTTGTCACTGAGTTTTGTGGTCACTTAGAACAACAACAACAAAAATAATGGTGTGCGTGTGTTTGTGTGTGTGTGTGTGTGTGTGTGTGTGTGTGTGTGTGTTAATGCTGATACAAGCCTAACATAGCCCAATCTATCATCATGTCAACAAATAACTGCTGGAGAGATTTGATTTTTCCTAGAGCTCTACCTGCCTGGAGTGGTTCAATCATAGCTGAAATATGTCCCCTTTCACATAGTCTTATAGTAACTAAGTCATATTAAGATCTAGATTCCAAACTGATGCTGTGATTTCTTTTAACCCAACCACCAACTTCTGAGTTGAGACTGTATTTTTCTTTTAAAAATTTTATTTCCTCGTATTTACAAACTTGTGTATGTCTGTTATATGTGTAGGTCCCTTCAGAAACTAGAAGAGGGCATGGGTCCCCTGGAGTTATTGGAAATTGTGAGCTGCCTGAAGTGAGTCCTGGGAACTGAACTAGGGGCCTCTGGAAGGGTAACAATCCCTCTTAACTATGTAGCAACCCCTCCCCCATCAGTTTATTGTCTGAAGCAACTCTGCTGTCAGGGCTTTGGCATATACTACCTTTAGAACCATGTGGACAAATTACTTAAGGACCCTGGAATACAAGTGTCCCATTGAAACTGTGAACTGAGTATACATCTTAATTACACACCTTCATTCTGTTCATATGGAAACTGGGACTTAAGGCCTTGGCTGAACCATGATGAGGGTACAGTAATTCAGTGGAGGATTAGTGACCAGAATGAGTTCTTCCTAAACTAACATGTAGACATTGCTTTCCTACTCGAACATTGTCACTTGTCAAGCTCAGTTAGGATTTGAAGAGGAACAGGCTTATGTGAATTGTGTTTCTAGACTGTGACATGTTTCAATCACATCATGCGGAAAACTCAACCTCAGGCAGGTGGTACAGACTTCTGCCCTGCCCCCATTCAGGTCTACCTTTCAACTGTGACCTCATCACTGACACCATATCACCTAAAGATTGCCAAAGACAGGAGAAACTGGCCCCTCTCGATGGGAGCCAGGTGGCTGTAGGGCTACACTGGGAGGTGGCATCTGCAGGACCTAGGTGAAAGGACATCACTGGATACCTACTGGTCCCTGCACCCAGGTGTGCTCAGTGCCACATCAAAGCTTTCCAAAGCTGTGTGCTCCACTGTGCCTTCAGGTAACCCTGCATCCTCCTCTTAAGGAAATATGGCACGGGCTAGGGAAGAAGCAGGGGACAGCCAGTTGGTGTCTGGTAGGGAGTCATCTTCACGTATCATCAGAGTGTCTGTCAAGACCCCACAGGACTGCCAGGAATTTTTGCTGGCAGAAAATAGTAGTGTCCTCCGCTTTAAGAAGCAAATCTCCAAGTACCTTCACTGTGACACTGACCGATTAGTGCTCATCTTCTCTGGGAAGATTCTCCGAGATCAAGACATACTAAGCCAGCGTGGCATCCTTGATGGCTCTACAGTCCACGTGGTAGTGAGGACTCGTTTGAAAGGGTCAGTCTGTACGGGAGGTCTGGCAGGCCCTACAGTCCACTGTACCCACCGTCCAGAACCACCGACCTCTGATAGTGCTGGGGTACTAGTCAGGCTGGGCCGACTGGCCCGAACCTCACCTGACCTAGGTGATTTCTTCAGCCAGCTTGTCCAACTGCTGACGACGGCACCAGAGTCGGTGGTGCAGTTCTTGGAAGATCCTCTGATTCAAGGGCTGGCAAATGAGAAACAAGGCAATGGCCTGCATGTTCCTGAATCCTCAAAGTCGGTACAGAAACGAGACCCAGCTCTCAAGTTTCCGGAAACCTTTCAGAAACCAGGGCGGCAACAGGAAGTCCTGCAGGAACACAAGCAGAGGCTGGAGGCCCCGAAAGCAGTGCCAGGAGGTGACAATGCTTTGCGTCCTGGCTGTTCTGATATCCACCAGATCATGCTCTCCACTCTGGCCTTATTGGTGGCTTCTAGGGGCCACATTTCAGGCTCAGAGATGTGCAGAGGAGAAGCTACCAACGCTCACTGCAGTTCTGATCCCTCCACCACCATTCCAGCCAGGCTCTTGGCACAAGAGGTCAGTACAGGAGGGGTTACCCAGGTCAAGGGCATCCTCGCAAGTCAGGCTATTTCAGGGTGCCGACCTGGTATACTAGATTTACACCTAGGCTCAGATTTTCCCTTCCAAGAGAACCAGCAGCTGGTGGAGAAAGCCCCTCCAGTCGGTCACCCGAGACCCTCACCCTCTGCTTTGTGCCGAGCCTTAAACATCCTGCAGCAGAATCCAGCTCTGCTACACCAGCTGGCAACCGGCAGCCCCCTACTACATCATATGCCTCTTCTTCCCATCCTTACCAACCCGCGAGCGCTGCAGGCATTGCTACAGATAGAACAAGGCCTACAGATACTGTCCAGGGAGGTGCCTGAGCTGGAACCATTCTTATGGGACTCAGCTAAACCATGTGGGGCTACAGGAGCCCCAGAAACTAGGGGTAGAAGACAAACCCATAGAGAAGATACTTCACAACACTCCTTGGCCTATCAGCATCATTCATTGGCCAACGTCCAAACTGCACTGTCCTTGCCCCTCCTCAATGAAGGTCGCTACCAGCAAGAACTGGAGCAGCTGAAAGCCTTGGGTTTTACTAACCACGATGCAAACCTGCAGGCCCTTATAGCCACGGATAGAGATATCCACGCCGCCATTGAGAGGCTTCTCGGGTCTCCGCAGGCCTAGTCTCTCCAGTGGATGCTCTCGATAGTCCATTCTGTGGAAAGAGAGGAAAAAGGGGGAAGAGGAGGGAAGGCACTTATTTTAGAAATTCCTCCTCCTTGGATTATGAGCACATTTGGGCAGCCCTTCTCTCACTGCCCTAGCCCTGTTCTACATTAAAGAAGATTGCTTGGAGCTCCTGTGTGTTGTGGATTTGAAGCTGGGTAGGCAACATCCTGTTATTTGGAGAGGGACTTGTACAACGCTCTGAGATATGCTTTACTTACTCTTGTCTCTAACCTAAGTATTCTTTTTCATTTCAAACATAACACAGGGCTGGGAGATGGCCCAATGGGTCATAGGTAAATTGCTTCCAGTGCAAGCATGAAGACTGAGTTCAGATCCCTAACATCCATGTAAAAGCCTGGTACCGTGGTGCATCTGTAACCCTAGCACTAAGCAGTGGGATGGGGAAGCAGGAGGATGTCTGGAGCTCAGAGACCAGCCAAGCCTAGCCAAATAATGATCTCTAAGCTCAGTCTCAAAATATAAGGCGAAAAGCAGTGGTGGTAGACACTTGATCTCAACCCCTGGCCTACACACAAGTGCACACACATACACAAGCATGTACATACATATAGATGCATACACTAAAACTAGGGCAGATAAATCCTGAAATGTTTTTGGTATTTTCACTCCCATTCATCAGCATTCAGGTGTCTTGCCAGCATTGCCATTACCTCTATTAGCTACTTCCAGAGTCAGAATCCTGGCTGTTACTCTCCCAAGAAGTCTTGACTTTTCTAAAGACCTCTTGGAACCACTCATTTTGTTTTGACTGAATGTTTTTCTGTCCAGAGTTCTTTTGCTTTTTAGCTTCCCTCTGAGCTAATGTTCTTCATTTGATGCCTGCCTATGCTTAGGCTCCTGTTCTGTGAGGTTAACCCCGTCAGAAGCAACATATCCCTCCTCCACAGGGTTCTTTTCTTCAATGCTTGCCTCTGTTACCCTATCTGATGCCGGTCTATTTCTACAGGTTTTTTTTTTTTGTGACTGAATTTTAATGTGTCTCCCTCCCAGGGGCAAAACTTTATGAACCTCTGAGGGAGTTAGCCCAATAAGATGCAGAAGTTTTTTTCAAAACTCTCTCTGAATTATTTTTCAAAATTTATTTATAGTATTTGACCTATAAATTCTCTTTTCTTTGATGAATGTACTTCTTTTAATCATCTTTAAGAATTCAACTCTTTCATTTGCTCCCTGGAGTATGTTATGTCAATTCTTTTAAAAGTTTATCTCTCAGAAGTTTTGGCCTTTTCATAAGGATGGTTCTGGCTCTTTTGTATTTATGGCTTCTAAGTTTCTAACAGTTGCGCTTTTTGTATTTTCTTCAGCATGCTGGCCTTCTTTTTGGGTGTCCTAGGGGTGTCTACGGCTTAGAATTTTCAAATGTAGTTCAGTATCTTTCCCCAGGGTCATTCCAACTCTGAATCCTTCATTTATGCTCTATATCTTAATAAAAGTAACCCACGATTCTGCAACACCCCCAGATACCTCCTGTGATTTCTGGATTGTCAGGGGCAAGACTCACAGAGTAGGAAGATGTAGCATGCTCCAGAGTGTCAGTATTTTAAGAACAGCCATGTACAGAAGGATGGAGGGGAGGGAAGGTCATATTCAGAAAATTGCTTAGGGAGGTATAAAGGACAGAACCCTCAGATTGGCCATAAACATTAGTGAATCCTGAGCTAATGTGCATCTGCATCTCAGGTCTCCTTATGGCTGAGAAGCGCTGCGCTGTTAACTCGGAGGCAGACATTGTAACTTAATTGTTATGTGATGCTCCATGCACCTAGACACCCACAGGTTGTAGAGGAGGACTGAATATCTCTAGGTCATCCTTTACCAGAAATGAATCTGGTGTATACTTAATTCTCTGTTTTCCTATCAGGCATGTTCAAGCTTTTCATATCGAAACACGACATTGCTTGAGAACTGTGCAATTGAGGTATACCCCTCAATATAAAACCTTAAAATATTTTAAGTAAATTATGATTTTGCACTGGGGCACATTCATAGATATTTTGACTGCAGATTGGACATAACATCTATACCATCAAGGCATTAGTCTGAAATTCTGAGATGAGTTTGACCCCAGGAAGCAGTGGAGTGTACCTGATATGGAGTATGGGGATGAGAAGAGAAGTATTCTGAGATCCTAGAAGTAAGCTTCACCTCACTCCATCATCACCCAGGCTCCTGTACCTAGACCCCTGATTCATGTGGAAATCATTGTATTGTTGTTAGTGGATTTAGTGGGTGCTGGATCCTTGTTATACCTTCGTGGATAGCAGCTACTGATATCCTCTGGATGTCACCCTTTACCACAAGATTAATGCAGTCTATCTTCAGGTTGAAAAAGGAGCACCACTCAGAGAGGTTTGAGTAGAATTTGTTGGCAAGGCTGAGAAATACCCCATTATTGATCTGTGAGTGAGTGAAACTTGGCTTTGGTCATCAGGGGTTGTATTTCCTGCCACGAAGGGGAAATTTCTAAACTATATCCACAGGTACCAGCTCAGAGTAGAGATTGAAATGAGATTCTTAAGGTCTTAGCTACTACGAGATCCTTGCTGCCTAGTCCTTGCAGGACTAGGGAGGAATGAGGAGCCACTGAAAAACCCAGAGTGGGGAAGGGAGTTAGTGTCTGTGCTAAAGCAATTCTTTTATGTAACTCCTAAAAAAATGAAAGCTTTTAGGAATGAGGGAAGGATACTTGGCAGAATGGGTAGATGGAATCCCATGCTGAACATGTTTAAATATATCAGACACTGAAAAATGCTCACTGAAATATGGGAAATAACTATATACTGAAGTAACAGTAGGTAATATGGAAGATATTAACGTGGTCTACAGGGAATTATATTCTAGATGGTAAACTGTGATAGACATACATATACATTCATATCATCATGCAGTAGAGGTAAAAATTAACATACTCTTATTCAATAGCATCTATGTATTGTCTGTAGTGTTGTGGTCTACAGGGAATTATATTCTAGATGGTAAACTGTGATGGACATACATATACATTCATATCATCATGCAATAGAGGCAAAAATTAACATACTCTTATTCAATAGCATCTATGTATTGTCTGTAGTGTAGAGTACTTAGAACATTGGGCTAATGAGTATCAGTTATACAATGATCCAGACTTTCTGTTTTATCATTTGTAAGATGGTGGCAATGGCCAGGTGGTGGTGGGACATGCCTTTAATCCTGGCACTCTGGAGGTAGAGGCAGGCAGATCTCTGTGAATTCAAGGCCAGCCTGGTCTACAAAAGTTTGAAAAAAAAAGATGGTGGCAATGTCATCAACAGGAATTAGCAAATATTTCTCAAAGTTAACATGTATACACTTCACACGTAGTATTGGTTACACAGGTATTCAGGAACAATATTATTTCTCTCATTCTTGTGTGTCTCCAAAAGCTCTCCAATCTCCACTTAAGATTTAACCAGAAGATAACTGTGATTGGGTCTAGGATCCTTACTGAATGCTTTATCTTCTCAAATCACATGCTTACAGAAGTGGAATCTGGTCTCACAGTTCCTCTCCAAAGAAAAATTAGCAATCAAGCATAAGGAGAGAGGAAAGTGGAAAAAATTGAGTCTTTCAACTATTGTTGCTGCCACTCTCATGATTGCTTAGATGTTTTCTTGTTGCTAAATACCACCTCAGTTTGGGCCTGTAGAGTTCGATACCAAGGGAATCCTTTACTTAGAAGCATTAGGAACTATAGTTGAATGTGGGGAAATAATATGCATGATTATCACACATGTATATATACACATTCTAAATCCAGTCCTAAAGACTGTATCAGGGTGTGAGGTAGTCTGGGAATGGGTCAGAGGTGGATAGTGTCTGGCATCCCTTGACAGAATACATAAAGCCATCTTTGTCCTTGCTTCTTTTGCTGTGGGTCATCCGTATTTCTCTTGAACATTTCAGTTGGAATATTTCCTTACCCTTTTAACCTCCAATCTGTATTTGTTCTTTGTCATGGAAGCCAGCCCACTAAAGCCAATGTTAGTCTCCTAAAAGACAAATCCAATAGATAATGGTCTCTATAACTCATTTTCAGTCTTCACTGCATTTCCTGGATGGCCTCACATCATTTCTTTTTTGCTTGGCCTATCAAAATAACAGCACCTTCTTTTCCACTCATAGGTTTGTTTGAAGAATTTACTTCTCATTTTAATAAAAAAGGCTGATGTTGAACATGCCTGGGTTCCTCTATCAATATCCATGTGAATGTGGTCTTGTGCTGACATATTCTGTCTGTTCTGCTGCTGTGAACACACTATCTCCAGCTCCTTCACTAAAATTCTGGATTCCTTTATCTCTCACCTTTCAAGTCCAGTCTTCTCCTCCTGTTGCATCAGCCTTTCTTTTTTTTTCTTAGTGAGTTATTCCCAATCTGCTACTTTACAATCTAAAACAGAATTAACTCAAAGAACAGGGAATAATGTCTTATGTCCACTTATCCTTCTAGCTCCTTCCTATTTTTCAGATCACTGCTATAGTGAGCATATGACATGTTTTTTTTTTAATGACATCTGTTTTTGAAGACACTAGTTTCATCTTGTTTTCTCAGATCAACTACAATATAATTAAGTCTTTGCAAGTATCACACCAAGGTTTGGGGTCACTCACTCTTGCCAGGACCTCAGAGCTCTGTGTGATGAGTCCCATGGTCATCCATTAGCCACCACCCCACTTGCTTGAGTCATATTTGAGTGATTTTTTTTCTGTACAGAATAATAAGGCCCCTTCTTTTCTGACACACTTCCCTCTGTGATTTTAGATGTCACATTTTAAAAATCATTTATTTTTGACAATTGCAATACTCACCTCACTATTGCCTCCTCTAATCCCTCTCCCGCTTTTGCTGGGTCTGTTGTTTTATTTTCATATCTTACATACCAATCACAGTTCCTTCTACTCCTCCTCCTGCTCCT